CATTTCCAAGATTTCTGTTTGGTTCTTTTTCAAAACCTCTATCTCCTTATTGAATTTCTCACTTATCTTATATCTGACTTCCTTAATTCATTTGTTTGCATGTGTTCTCTCTGAAACCATTAATCTTTTTAAAATAATCATTCTTTTGAATTCTTTATCTGGTATCTTACTCACTTCAATATCATTGGAGTCAGTTGCTAGTGAATTATGAACTTTAGGAGGTGTCATATTTCTTGTGTTTCTGTGTTGGGTTTTATGCATCTTTTGGGATACATTTTTCTTCCACCAGTATATGTGGTCTGTCATCATAGCGACAGTCTTTTTTTTTTCTCACTATATTCTAGAGTGATCTATATTGAGACCGCCTCAGAAGTGTGGTATCCACAGTCTTTGTGATAATTCTCTCTAGTTTTGCTACAGGACTGGGTGTTTTTGAGTGGGATGTGAGGCCCTTCCCCCAGCCATTCTTACTTGGGTCCTGGTTGTTATTTTGTTATTTTTTTGTCTCTTCTATACTATGTATTAAAATAGCACAGAAATTTGAGTGTGGTTAATTTGTAGTTGGTGAAAGTTGTACTGTCTCTTGGGGTTAGTTCAGCAGCATAGTCTCCACCCTACATTCCTGTGTCCATGTAGATCCCCAGAACCTCAATTGAAAAGGGAGAGGAGAAAGAAACAGTAGCAGCAACCAAAACAAACAATATGCAACATTCAAATAAAAGCCTGGTGCCTACTGTGACATCTACAACACTAATTAACACAAAAAACGGGAAGGATGAGGTCAGCCATTCCAACACCAAAACCAATAATCAGCTGTGAACAAATCTGGCATTATAGTAAAGAGCAGCAGGTGTCATGAGCCTGCCACAACATGAATGGTGGGGGCAGGAGTGGTATAAACCAAGTAGTCCTAAAAGATGCTAAAAATACAATTAATTAAGAGAGGAGAAAATAGGACAGGAAGGTAAAAGTAAGTTTGGAATGTTCAAAATGTGAGCAGAGAGAATTCAGAAGAGATGTAACAAGTGACGTCTATAAAGGAGGAGGAAAAATGGGGAAAAACAGATTAGAGAGAGAGAGAGAGAGAGAGAGAGAGAGGTAGACACGTGCTGGGACAGAATGGTGCTGTTTGCTGGGACCTCCCAGGATCCTACAGCAGCAAGCCACAGTGTGCTGTCCTCACGATGCCTCCTGCTTCATCTCTTCACTTACCAGTTGAGAAACCCAGAGCAGTTTTTCATCAGTGGGCAGCCTCTGGATCAGCCAGTCAGCTGCTTTTCTGATCTACATGTTTTTCCGTGCCAAATTTGTCCATTGTGTTTCTCTCTCTGTTTGTATTATCCCTGTCCTCTGCAGTGAACCAGTGCCCCAACACTGCTGCAACCGGCTTGGAGCCAATGTATTCTTTCTTGTTCTTTGTACAATGCTCCAAAGTTTTTGAATCTCTAAAAGACTCTGACTATCCAATGTTGAATCTCAGTGCATTCACCCACCTTGCTGAGAAGCAATAGTCCCTCTAAATACTGAGCCACAGAGTAAATAGAAATGCAGCCCTCCTCTACTCTGCCATCTTGAATCTCTCTCCTTGTATTTTAATTTGTATTTCCTTAACACCTAGTGATGCTGAATATCTTTCTAAGTGTTTATTTGCCATCAATATATCCTCCTCAGTGTAATGTCTGCTCATATGTTTTGCCTATTTCCTATGTGAATATTTTTTTCTAATGAGCATTGGGAGTTCTTATTTATATTGTGGATACTAGTTCTTTGTTGGACATGTTCATGTGGTTTTCAAATTATTTGTCTGTTTTTAGCATCTTTTGCTCCCATATGTATAGTTTCTGGCATAGTACTTGGCTAAAGTGACTACACTCCATTTTCTCAATAAAGTCCTGATTTATATCACTGTCCTGGTAGTCCATTCAATTATCACTTTCTTCTGCTCTCAACATTGCGCTGGTTTAAATGTGGTGTTATTCAGTCACTATATTCATATTAGAAGCTGAGACCAGGGTGTAGGGGCACAGATGGACAGACAGACTGGGTTGGCAATTGAACTGATGTTTGATGAGAGAAGAGATGCTTCTAAGGGACTGCTATTTGTGGAAAAAAAAAGCCAGGAGGAGGAGAAAATTTGTGAGGTTGCTGGTAAGAAATGTGGCATGATGCAGTTCTGCATAGAATATTGGATATACAGTGGTGATTAAAGCCCTGGCAACTGCACTAAAATGGAACTGTCAAGTTCCATTTTCCTTACATAGAGATTTATCAGGGAACAAGCCAATCCTGCTCTCATGAAGCTTATAATACAATAATAATAGGTGCATGAAGCAACATTTTTATAGGTATGAATGATTTTGTTGACTGAGAGATGAAGCTGAAGAGAGTTTGGAGACAATCAAAAATTGTTGGAAAATTCTCATGTTTTCAGGGCAGGATAAGGATGAAGATTCAGAGAATAAAATAAATGGGAGACTTAAGTCTCAACTTTTCCAAGGTTTTAAAAAGAGAGCTGTGATCTAATATCAAATACTAAAGATAAAAAGAGATGATTTATGATTCACATTCTGTAGATGGACACACTTTGTCATCCCCATCAACCAACAATCTTTAAAAGTTCTTAATTAACTTCTTTTGTTTTTGAGAAATACCTGAAGTCTCATAAGAAGAATAAAAACTCATTTTTTTGTGTCTGTTGCCAAAGTGTGACATTTAATAGCTGTTTAATTTCTACATGTATTAGACAGGGAAATGTTGTCATCATATTACTTATTTGAATGTGAATTTTCTCTTCACTACAGTACATTATATAAAACTTTTAAGCAAAATCTCAATTTTCCTTTTTATAAAGGAATAAATAAATCCTCACTCTTCAATTTCAGGAGGACGAAATCTTTGGCATTTGAAAACCGACCTCTAAAAATAATTTTTACAAAAATAAGTTTTTACTTTTGTGGTTTGTAAGCATTTGAATGTGGAAAGTTAGGAAACCACAACTTTTTCCCCTTACAAGTAGTTTCCCACACAAATGAAATGATAGTTTCTGAGAAAAGTTCGAAGCTTTCTAATAATTTATGATTCAAACCAATATTTCTTTGGGATTTTCCCACACTCTATCATTGGAACTGTATACATAGAGACTAAACCATATGTCATCAGACCGGTTATGTTTCCTTGGAGTTCAATAATCTTTGCAACATTAATAGCGAGCATTTAAATGATGTATAGTTTCAAAGAATCCTTTATCTCATCCTATTCTTTGATTGACCCTGTGTGATATACATTATGATCCACATCTGAAAGGTGAGACACCTGAAGATGAGCGAAGTCAGATGAGCTGGATCAAATCACACACAGACTTAAAGGTAAAAAATCTAGATTTTCTGAACCTATGTCATGTCACTTTTCAATAAAATTTCCAAAATAAAATGAACTTATTGTTGAGTTGAGAATATCATTAAATTGAAAGAATAATGCTGATGTCTAGCGGGTCAATTTGACATTTTTCAGGGGTTAGTAGGTTAGGCCACCTACCTAATTTTTTTTTTTTTTTGATAGAAGTTCCCCATCTGTGAATGTTTAAAAAAATTTTTTAAGTTTATAAAAAAACAAGAAAGCAATAAAAGACAAAAAATATGCAATGGAGATGTAAATGACCCAGAGAACTTAAAGTGATTATAACTTGGTCCTTTACGGACTAGTTTTACTGAGTCACATTTTATGGCACTGCCAGGGACACTCGCTTTGCTGACACGTGCTCCCACAGGCTGAAGTTGCCAGGGGAGGTGTCTACGCCTTTTCCTGTGCACCACGGAAAGCGATGTACCTCACAGGAAGACAGAATTCACCGAGTCTCTAGGAACTGACTGTCGTTCTGCACTGAGGGCAAAGGGTGATTCACCCTAGGCCTGGCTTCTCTGGGCCTCTGCCTCTACGGTTCGGCTGGCCACATACTTGGTGTCACACATTCTTTGGTGATGTGCATGTGGTGTTTCAAATCTCGTATAGAACCCTATATCAGGGAGCCAAAGGAGCCTCTTTCTATAGTAAGCACATAAATAGGCTGTTTGCCCATTTCCCATTGTCTCAGTCCTCACAATAGAGTAAGGGAATGTAAAGGGATCAGGGAGTGGAACAGGTTTCCTTCCATTTGACATATTTGCCTGAGTCTGTTGTTTATATCATTTCAAGATTTAACATAGGACAAAGATTATAAAAAGATGGCTTTTCTCCAGGCTTTCATACATACATACCCCCTTTGAAAGGCACCGTGCTGAATACCTGAAGCATGGAGATGAATAAGACACCTCAAGATCCCCGAGGCATGTGAATAATGACATTAACACTTTATAAAACATACTAAAGAGAAATTCAATGCACAGATGGGATGCATTTTTTTGGCATTGAGTATGGTTGAACCTTGATAACACCCACAGCTCTTTTACCAATGAAATGAAAGTTTGAGGTTATCCTTTATCAATGACTGGTCACTGAAAGTGCAATAGATTCTACAAACACTCACAAGGAACACACTGCCACCAGTGTGTTCTACTATTCCAACTATGAGAGTTCTATAAAGAAGATGGCCAGTGGCACCAAGACCAACATCCCCTTCAGCATCCAAATCAATGCTGAGCCAGATCCCACTACCAGCTAAAAGGCAACTCGGACGGGCATCACCAGCACTTAGATCTGGTTGCTGTGTCTACCTCAGAAGTTACAGGGGACCCAAAGACAGTCCACATGTGTAGGGATCAAAGCTGGTATGGAAAAGTGGGTGGGTTTGGCAGGGGCAAGTCTCTCGGAGACTGGCACATGGGCACATATTGCTATATGGCAGTTTCTTAAGGTGGCTTACATTTTGAATCACATGCAAATGTGACCTCCATCTGTTGCTATCACTGACTGACTCTGCTTTTTCACATGTCATTTTTACCCTCCCACTTTCAGCTGTCAGTTTCTTTTTATGCTGGTACACAATGATCTTCGACCCCAGCAACACATCTCCCCTTTGCAATTTATATCCCCTCTAGCTCGGAAATTCCAAAAGAAGAGTTTGCTTCCATCTAAGCCAGTCTCCAGTTTCTGAGTGCTGCCGGCTGGTGCTCCCAGAATTACTCTCTCACGCTCCAGAGTTACTTCGGCTATCAAGGGCATTTTGAGTTGTCCCAGGCTTCCAGATGAGTTATGAGAAACTGGCAGTGGTAGCAGTGGTATCCAAACCAGAGATGCAAGAAGTGTTGATACCAGGCCAAATTCGGATGGAAATAGTCATTCTCCTTATAGGCCCATGAAAGCTTAGAATCGTGCAAAGCATTCAGAGGAAGGCTTCCTCCACGGCATCATCTGACAAGCATTTACTAGCTGCTGATCCTGGGTCCTTCCGGGTACCCACAAGGGATCTCCTCTGCAAGAAAGACCACCTGGAGCTAAGCCAGCTGGAGAGGTAAGAGGATTCGATTTCACAGGTAAAAACAAAACTGACCTAAGAGGTTTCAGATTTTTCATGTTTGTAGGGAGAAAGGCTAATAGGTCCCCGTCCCTGCTTGTGAGAAGGCTTGTCCCATGTTGTGCTGCACACAGGGCATGCACCATATGGGAGACCATGGTGACGGCTGCCGACAGACAGACCATAACTTCAGGTGCAGGGGTATCTGGCGAGACTGCTCTTTGAAGATGGATAAATCCAGAGGTGTCAAGTGAAGAATAAAATCTTTGCTTTTAGGTTGTATCTGACTCAAGACAATTTGTTCCAACTCATTTGCATAGCAGGTTGTTAATGGAAGCCCAGACTTGTCTATTGCTTACATTCAGGATGATGAGGGAAAAGGAAGTATTGCCCCCTGACCCCCACTCCTCCACAGGCCCTGGAGGGAGGTGCGCTGCATTGAGAGGACTTCCTTTGGGTGAATCTGTGAGCAGTTTGGTAGGAACCACAGCTTCCTTTGCTGGGGTTTTCCACCTTCCTGCTTCTGAGACAGACCACAGCTCCCCAATAGCAGTGGGATCTGGAGGTCAGGACAAAGGAGACAAGCTCCTACAGAGCCAGCTAGGACCTGAGCACGCATAGGCACAGATGCAGCTGTACCTCTTTATTCTTGGGTTAACACTTGCACAAGCTCCCACCTGCTAGACAGGTAGGAAATCAAATATCTTAGTTTAGTTTAGTTTTTTTTCCCATTCTCAATTTTCCAAAATGTCACAGTTTCCATAATCTGAAGGGTGACATTTGCATTCATTCAGTGTTCTAATGCTGTGTCCACTCAGTGGAGTGAAGTGGATAAAAGCAGAGGCTCTGAGATGAACTTCCTGGATTTAAATGCTGAGTATATAT